TGCCATTTGTAAGTTAGGGGATCTTTCCATAAGGCTTGAGTATAATTTTAAGCCGTTGATGGATGCCAGAGGCTATCCTTGGCTGATTAAGGCGTGCCCCACCACTGCCTGGCTTCTGGGCTAGCCTCATGTCTCACTGCCGCTACAGAAGCACGGAGGCAGGCGTTTCACTCCCGCAAGTCAGCAGCATGCTGCGTCCCCAAAGGCCCAGCCGTCCCCGCTGCTACGGGCTCAGCAGGCAGGTCCACGCTGGGTGGGACTAGGCCACATGGGCTGTCCCTAAGGGCTGGAGAGATGGCTCAGTGGTTAAGAGTACTGACTGCTCTTCCAGGGGTCCTGAGTTCAACTCCCAGCAATCACATGGCTCACAATCACCTGTAATGAGATCTGGTGCCCTCTTCTGGCCTGTAGACACACATGCAGGCAGAACACTATACATACATACATAAATAAATAAATCTTAACAAATAACTGAGTTAAGGTTACCTTCTGGTGTTTACTCAGAGAAGGGCAGGAAGGGGTGAAGTGAAGTTGAGGCTTTGGGCCTGACCATGTGGCCTTGCTACTCCCTTGTCTTTCTCAGAGGTAACAGTTACTGTCTTCCATTGCTTTCCTGTGGCTGTGATAAACACTGGGACCAGCCATTTGGGGAGGAAAGGGCTTGTTTCATCTTACACTTCCAGGTAATGGCCCATCAGTGAGGGAAGTCAGGGTGGATACCTGGAGCAGACCAAGGAGGAAGGCTGTTTACTGGCTTCATCTCTCTGGGGATGCTTGAGTAACTGACAAAACCCAGGACCGCCTGCCTAGGGGTGGCACAGTGGACTGGGCCACAGTGGACTGGGCCCTCTTACATCAATCAACAATCAAGAAAATGCCCCCACAGACATACCAATGGCTGATTCCCCCATTGAGAACCCCTCAGATAAAGCTGGAATGTGTAAAGTCTAGAGCTGAAGCTAAATAGAATAATTAAAAGCTCAGGAGACCAGCACCTGTGACTTAGGGTCTGCGTGTCTCTGTTGTGCTCACAAATAAGCGCCAGGGAAGCCAAGAATATTAAACACCCAAAGTAGTCTTTTCAAGGGGAAAGATGTATATTTTCTGCCTAGAAGGCTGGGAATGGAGGTGGCTAACAGCCTGGGTGAGCCCCTGTGCTATCTGTAGGTCCACTCTATACCTGGCTCCCCTAAGCTCCCACAACTAGGACTAGAGGTGGCTAATAGCCCAGATGACCTTTATACTATCTGTATGACCAAGACCACACCAGATCCTTCCCTAGGCCCTTAAGATAACACAAATAGAACCCACCTTCATGGAAGGAGTGAAATGTACTTTGAGAAGAGTTTCGATGTAATCACATCTCCTTGTACATAAGGGGTCATGTTACATTAGGAAACTCTCTCCAAAATTGTACTGTACTTAAATAAGCAGTGCCCAACTCTACAAGTTTGAACCAACACTGGCTACTGAGTCCTGCTGAACCGTATTTCCTTCTTGCCTCACTCAGCATTACCCTGCCAACCCTCCTCTGTTTGCAGAGCCCCACAGGCCTCCAGGGCCAAGCTTGCTGCTAGATCTTAATCTAGATGTTACTGAACTTGTGAGTCAACCAATACCAAGTCAGTCTGATCACCCAGCCTCAATAAGACAATGAAAGAACCAAATTAAACATTCAAAGCAGAAAAGGGAAACTCACTCAGTGTAGCCATATTGGGAAGAGGGATAAAGAGGTCCAGCAAACCCCTTGAGTGCATCTTTAAGGCCCTTCAGTGAGATCATGGTTTAAATAGAGGTCCAAGGAAATGCTCATCAAAGCAGTCCCTGTCAAGGTCCAGACACCATCTGGGCTTCCGTCTCATCCTGTAAGGTAACTGGACAGATTGTTGAACTATCTGAGATCTCTTCCAGGGAGACAACTTGCCCCTCTAGTTGGGGTCCTTTCTTCTCTCCCTCCACCCCCAGCATGATATTCCTGGAGGAAATTCCCATTTCTTTAGAGTCCATTGTTTCAATGATCTGATCGTCAGTTTGAGAAACACAAGAATCTAGTTAGGTCTTCATTTCTGCCAGGCCAGTTATATGAGCACTGAGACTGGATGGTGGAAGAGGGCTGCCTGCTCTCCACAGAGCCCTGTACACACTGTTCTCTGGCTCATTTCCCAGGAATCATGAGGTGGAGGTCCCTTCTAGGGCCTTCACGGACAGTCCCACCCCACTAATCACCATTCAAATGAGGTGGCTCCTAGGACCCTTAGACACAGCTTCCCCTGCCCTGACTCACCGTGGGCCCTTCACAGGCTACACCCTATCACTACTTTCAAATTCTCACAAACCAGAGAGCTCTACTTCAGCTGTTTTCCCCACTGTTGGTCCTCAGCCAACTGAAAGGAAACTAGCCCCACCCATCTCGTGCTGTCATTCTCTCCCTTGACCTGGTGTGTTAGAAAAACACCCATCCTGCGGGGGGTGGAATTTCCAGAGCTGTTGAGTCCACCTATTATGCATTCTCCACATACTGTCCTTTTATTTTGTAGCTCAGGGCCAGCCAGTTTTTGACTTGCAGATGCAATCAGCTTAGTTCTAGCTGGGGTTCTACCGAGGGTGAGGAAACACCCTACTTCCTTCATGAAGTCTCAGCACAAAAACAAAGCTTCTCCTACTCCACCCTTCCTAGGAAAACAGCCAGTTCTAGAGCTGGCTCTAAGCCCTTCCCTCTGGGACCTACAAAAACATCTAGCCCCAAGAGCCTGCACTCCCCAGACTGCACACACAGTCAGCTGTGTGCCCAGGAGGCCGCAGGCCAGATCCTCCTAAATCAGGTGAGTGCCTGCATGAGGTGGGTGGAAGGCCTTTGCCCTCCAACACGCTCCACAGGAGGCTTGCTCTGGTTGTGAGGGCAGCTCCTATCTGCCCTCTGCCTGGACTTTCCTCTTCTGTGCTCTTTCTCCACGCTTACCCCGTCTCAGTGGGGCAACTCCAGCTGACCAGCAGTTCTGCTCATGCACACAGGAGCCTCCAACCCCCAAACAAGCTCAGAACCTCACCTAACCTTATATTTGTCCTAGTGCCAAGTTGAAAATGGGCTGAGATTTAAGAAGTGCACACCCTGAGTGGCTGCCTTAAGTGGATGGCCTGAGAAGCTCAAGGAGGGCCACAGTGGGGAGGGTCACAGAGGCCACAGCTACAGACTGACAGTTACAGTGGGAGAAACAGTAGTTGGAGAAACAAAGCTGGCTGTAAGCAGTGAGCATGGGCAGGGGCCTGGGGACCTTCTCCGGTACAGTGTGGCATCTCCTGGGAAGCTGACAAACTTTGCATCTTGAGGGTAAAGAGCTCTACCCCCAAGAGTTCTTTAATGGTCTGGCCACCAGTGGGGGTAGTGAGCTCCCGGAATGTTGTTCTTCAGGTGAACTGCTGTACAGCTGGAGTGGTGCTCTTCAGGTTACCCTGAAGTTAGACCCACCTTCCAGTCACAGTCCTACCACTTGCTGGCTCAGTGAGCTCCAGCCGAGTGCTCGACTCCCCAAGCCTCCTGCCTCAAGTGGTAGCGGTATGCTACTAACAGAAGTGGGCTGGCTGTTTCAGCAACATGGAGCTGGTGCAGGAATTCCCCCATACCCTGCTAGTGTATCCGAAGGGCATCCCTGATGGCCAAATACTTTGCACAGGGGACTGCTGAACTGCAAAACTTTCAAGCCTTTCCCGATGACCTGCTCATCAGCATGTACCTAAGGTCCAGTAAGCCAGTAGAGCCCCATAATCAGGCCTGCAGCTGCCACCTCAGCTGGCAGAGCTGAGCCCTCAGCCCAGCTCACTTTCCAGTTCTTCCTTTCAAGGTGCCACCTGGGTCAGTGAGATAATTGGCATGATCTGTCAGGATGTTAATCTAGAGAACTGTCACCAGGCCCCCATCTATATCTGGGTGCCCTTCCTAGAGTTCCAAAGCCCCGGTGTCCACTCAGGTATGTAAGGGAACCCTGGGGAAATGAAGCTGAGGGAAAGAGGACCAGGGTCCTGATCAGCACCCCTTCCCTACATGTGCTTAGGTCTTGAGGCTCTGTAAAACCCCCAGCCCCACTGTTCCTCAAGACACACTTGCTGTGGCTCTGGTCCCCCAGAGCTTGCTGGAGCAGAAGGTCAAGGTGAGAAGCCAGGGCATCGTTAGATAGCTGCAGACAGCCCCTTGATCCTGCCGAGGTCTCAGCTGCTTCACTGAGTGAGAGGCCATCTGCCTGTCAGTGTTGTGGGGTTCATAGCGTGGATCTAAGAGAAGGGAAGCCACAGAACAAGGTTCTCACAGAACATGGGAGAGAGCTGGCAAGACCCATGCCTGCCTTGTGTGTGGCCCCTCAGGAGAGCAACCTGACTTTAGACTTTGTGTTAGTTTGTTTATCCTCACTGTGAATAAAATAGAACTCCAGGTCTGTTCTGACTCAAGGCTTCAGGACACAGTGTATCTTTTTTCTGGCTTTTGGTGAGCCAGGGTATCATGACGGACACACTTGGGGGAGTAGGAAGGAACTACAATGCCATTGGTGCTGTGCAATTCTCCAGCCAAGCCCCGCCTCCACATATATACCACCTCCCAGAAATGCCATCCAAACATAAATCCTGAGTGGATCGATCCCTACCTTAGGTCAGTCACTTGTCAGTGGTGCTGCCCAGCTGGAGCCACGGCTTCAACAAGAATGCTTTGGGGGATGCTCCACATCCAACCCATGCCAGGAAGAAGCACTGTATAAATCCATACCACAAGGTTGCAACAGCCCAGCCTGTTTCTCCTTTGGCAGCTCAGGAGACAGTTCTCCCACTGGGTGCTGTGACAGGATGGACCAGGCATGGTGTCACACGCCTTTAATCCCAGCACTAGGGAGGCAGAGGCAGGGATATGTCTGTTTGAGAAAACATAAGGGGTTCCAGGCCAGCTTTGGCTCATCACACCCTGTATCAAAAAGAAGAAAAAGAAGGAAGAGTAAAGCTGCTAGGATGTGGGCGTCCACAGAAGGTCAAGTCCAGCTAGGGTCACATGCAGAACTGTTTCAACAGCACCTTGACCCGTCCCGTGGGTCCAGTTATTCAGGCTTCCGAAGGGGGGCTGCCTGAAAGAGTCATGGGCGAGAGAAAGAAAGGAGACCAAGCGGCACAGGAAAGGACAAGAGTTCATCTGTGCAATGTCAAGGTCTCGATTTATTGGGGCTTAGAGTGGGCTTAAATAGCCCTGCAACAATAGAATTGGGGGTAATAACAGAAGGAACATCAGGTATTTGCTGGGACTGGAACATTCTTCTTATCAGCCAGAACATCTAGTGGTCTTCCTTGGAACAGTGAACAGAAAAGCCCCAGACCCTTTCTCGGAACAGAAGCAGTTAGCAGTTCCACTTGGCCAGACGGTGTCTAATTACAGGTTATATGAGGCTCACAGAGCTGGCTTTAAGCTGCAAACTTAAAGGTCATTAAAAGGCTTACAAAGGTGGGCTTTAAGCTGCATTGTTTTGGGCCCATGGCCCCTTATAGCACCTGAAAAAATTGGAAACCAAAGAAGTGGTACTAGAGGGGGCTGGAGAGGTAGCTCAGAGGTTAAGAGCACTGGCTGCTCTTTATGAAGCCCTGAGTTCAATTCCCACCAACCACAGAACCCGCCATCCAGGGGTCCCATGTCTTAGATTAGTCAAGGAGGGAAGGAAGTTGACCGTCGTCGAGGCGGCCATTTGTACCCGGGGCTACAAACCACAGAGTGGCTCACAACCATCTACAATGAGATCTGGTGCCCTCTTCTGGCCTGCAGGCATACATACAGGCAGAACACCTATACTTAATAAAATCTTAAAAACAAGAAAACAGGCCGGGCGTTGGTGGCTCACGCCTTTAATCCCAGCACTCGGGAGGCAGAGGCAGGTGGATCTCTGTGAGTTCGAGACCAGCCTGGTCTACAAGAGCTAGTTCCAGGACAGTCTCCAAAGCCACAGAGAAACCCTGTCTCGAAAAACCAAACCAAACAAACAAACAAACAAACAAACAAACAAACAAAACAACAACAACAACAAAAACAAAACAAAGAAGCGGTACTAGAGAGGCTGGGCCTGTTCCCTCTGCACACCCTGCCTTGTGGGAGGATGGTGTGAAGCTTGCTGGGGCCGGTGGTGCAGAATTTATACTTGATCACAAAACCTGTTGTCTTTCCCCAAAGGACACCACTGGCTGGCTGATATATAGGCCTCTCAGCCAGTTTTCCCTTGTCTGGGATCCATGAGGTTGTGGCCCCTAGGATGGGTGAAGGGGACCTAATATTCATTTGTGCTTTTGTTGGCTTTCTTCCTTTTCACCATGCATAGGAGGTGTCCATTGCTTGTCATTCTCCCCAGCTGAGATTCTCTGAAACCCAGCCCATTTCCCCTGTATGTGGTAGGTCTCTCTCTACCTCTCATACCACAGGTAGAGGAGGTTGGGATGCCCATTCTTTTTTGTTTGTTTTTTTGGGGGGTTGGTTTTTCAAGACAGGGTTTCTTTGTGGCTTTGGAGGCTGTCCTGGAACTAACTCTTGTAGGCCAGGCTGGTCTCGAACTCACAGAGATCCGTCTGCCTCTGCCTCCCGAGTGCTGGGACTAAAGGCGTGCGCCACCACTGCCCGGCAAGCTTTCATTTTTTTAAAAGTTGGGACCTAAAAGACCTAGGCAGGTAGAGGAATCCATCCAAGTGTACCAAAACCAGTGGAATCCATCCAGGTGTACTAAAAGCAGTGGCTGGAGTGAAGGCAGGAAAAGTCAAGTCCCGTAGTTACCTCAGAGCCCCTCCATCACCCAAGGGGCTGCTGATACACCAGGTCCCCATTTACAACTTAATGGCTGTTCCGGCCTGGGCCGCTCATTTCCATTGCTCTCAGGTCAGAGTTTTCTGCTCTAAAGCATGGGTGTGCGGGAGCTCTTCTGCTAAGCACTCATTCACCAGCGCGTCCAGACATGGGATTGGGAAATGACTGGGGTGGTGGGCTCCGAAGCAAGTGTGACCAGGGAGATCCGAGATATCTCCAGGAAGTGGGGATTCAAGGCGAGGACAGAAGTCCAGCCACAAAGGCTGAAGCACCCACGGGTTATGGGCCATGTTTCGGGGCTTGGGAGTGAGTTAGTCTTCCCCCGGGTGGACTGCAGTCTGGAGGACCCACCCAGGCTTATGCCTGGTGCCTATAGAGGCCAGAAAAGGGTGAAAAAATCCCCTGGCACTGCAGTTATAGATGGCTGTGAATCTCCAAGAGGATGCCAGTGTTCTTAACTATTTCCTCTCCAGCCTCCAGCCCCTCTTCTTCCACCATCACCCCCCCCCCTTTTTAAAGCAGGGTTTCACTACACCCGAGGCTGACCTTAACTCAGGCTATCAAGATTACATGACAACTACCTTTACCCACAGAACCATCCTACTGGCCCCTTATTTTATTAATAAACATTTTTCTAGAAACATCCCAAGCAAGGATGTGAAAAACAAAATGGCCCATGCTTACTTAGGACCAGGGTGTTTGTAACCCTGAGGGTTAGCACATCAACACTCCTCATTCCTGAGTCTAACTGGTATACCTCAGGAAACCACTTGACAACTTTTCAAGACAGGCTTTATTGTGTAGCCTTGGCTGTCCTGGAATTCACTCTGTAGACTAGGCTGGCCTCAAACTCAGAGATCTGCCTGCCTCTGCCTCCAGAGTTCTGGGATCAAAGGTGTACCCTACCACTGCCCAGATACCTTACAACTTTCTACAAAGGGAAATCTTTAAGAAAGATAAGTAGCCGAGTGATGGAGGCAGGCAGATCTCTGTGAGTTCAAGGCCAGCCTG